AGAGGGAAATAAAGAGACTTACAAAAAGTCAGTTTACCAGTTAGTAGCACAGTTTGGATTAGAATGCAGAGCTCTTGATTCCTAATCTAGTGTTTTTGTCTGAATATTTTTAAAACTTGTAAAAATAATGAACACAATCTGTTGTCTGGCTGTCATTTAAAGTACCCCCGCTTTAACTTGCATCGTGATAGCAGTAATTTAAGAATGTGTAGTACATCCTTTAAGATCATCAAGTACTCATCTTCTTGAAGATCCTAGTTTATAATATTTTGTCTCAGTGACTCTTCAAATCACTGATAACTTTCAGAATTCCTAAACTTCTACCCCTACACATTCCAGACATTGTCGTATCTGTAAGTGGCATAACTCTGGTTGTTTTATGAGTTCATATTTCTAATTTAGTGTGTAGAGTCACTGTACTTTCATACAGGAGTATCTGGGTGGTGCAAACGGTTAATGCATTTGCTGCTAACTGAAAGTTTGGAGGTTCAAGTCCATCCAGAGGTGCCTCAGAAGAAAGTCCTGGTGATCTACTTCAGAAAAATCAGCCACTGAAAACCCTACGGAGCACAGTTCTGCTCTGACACACGTGAGGTCACCGTCAGTCGCAATCGACTCGACGGCAGCTGGTTTACTGGCTTTTCTCATACAGCCCCAAGCAAACCCAACTACCTGCTTCCTCTGCCATTTTCTGCTTAAATATTACAGTTCCTTTCTCCAGTTGTTGGTCATTTGAATAGTGGGATGGTTTGGGCATGAATTTCTTTTAAAGCAAAATATCTAACAACCACAGTTTTTATCCTTAGGGCTAGCTTCTCTGTCAGGGTTTTGGGAAACAACTCCTGGAGGCCAGATATTATCTCACTTGATGGACAGGGTAGTTTACAAAAGCATAGACTCTTTCTTATGTGATAGCTGGATGTGGAAATTTGTTTCCAATATTAAAGGTGGGTGAAATAAAGATGGTCTGTGTAATAAATGGAAGAGTTAAGAGGTGTGACTACTGATTCTATCCTAGTAATTTGTAACTGGATGTGAAGAGCAGAGGGAAGTTGGCTGGAGGTTTGGAGGAAGGCAGGAAGATGGCATGGTCAGTGTGAATGGTAAAATGATTTAGACAGGGCATTTAAGCAGCAGTGACAAGTAGAAAGCATTTTACCAGTGACGGGAACATTGTGCTTTGCTTTCAGATGCGAATTGGACTGCATTCTGGATCAGTTTTTGCTGGAGTTGTTGGGGTTAAAATGCCCCGCTACTGTCTCTTTGGAAACAATGTCACCTTGGCTAACAAATTTGAGTCCTGCAGTGTCCCACGGAAAATCAACGTCAGTCCAACCACTTACAGGTACTGATTGCACTAAGCACCTGAAATCTGTTCTCTTGGTTTATACGCACCTGTCACTGTTTTTCATCGGTTTGTTTCATTCTCCATAATTTGGGTTCTTGCTTAGATAATCTTCAAAGAAAAGAGAAGCAATAACTTTCATCACCCTCACTTTTTTTAAGCTTTTAAAAATTCTTTTTAACTACTCATTAATCTCATGGGAGCAACTCTCCTGGGATAGGCATAGCCCACCTGTGATCCTTGGCAGACATCACACTTTCCTCTATAATTCTTTTTTTAAAAGCGTATATTAATGTTCTTAGTACTTCAACAGGAAAGAATTTACCAGAGGGAGACTAGAAAGCCCTTTGCCAAGTTTGCGGAGTGTCACGGGCTGGCCGCAAATGTTAACACAGTAAAACCAGGGCCGCATACCATCTGGCATCGGGGAAAACCTCTCTTTCAACCGTCTCCTTGACAGCAGGCAGTGGGCAGCCTGAGTCAATAAAAGCCACTGTTTTGGTACCACGTATCCATTCTTAAACCAGAGAAGAAGCCAATTTAAGAGTAACGGTAAAAATATATCTGCTGTATAAACTATATCTTGTTTAAAAAATCCAATTACGATGAAAGCCCTTCAGTCACCAACAAGCGTTCCAGATCCCTATGCTAGCTAATTTATACCAAGCAAGTTAACTTTCCTTTTCTCAAGATAACTGTTCTGCAGCATCTTCTTTCTCCCTAAAGCTCCAACAGCCTTTTCTTTCTCGTCCTCTCGGTTGATAACCTCAATTCCTATTTCAAAATGAGAGTAGCTGGAACTAGAAAAGAACTAGCCCGTCTTCCTACCCCAGATTCCATCCACATAGCAACCTCGGTAGCTGTCTTGTAGGAGTCCCTGGGTGGCAGACGGTTAAGGGCTCAGCTACTAGCTGAAAGGTTGGCAATTTGTACCCTCCCCAAGGCACCTTGGAAGATAGGCCTGACAGTCTGCTTCCAAAAGGTCTAAAACCAAACCAAACCTGTTGCCGTCCAGCCAATTCCGACTCATAGTGACCCTATAGGACAGAGTAGAACTGTCCAGTGGGGTTTCTGAGACTTAAATCTTTATGCAAGCAGATTGCTACATATTTCCCCCGCAGAGCAGCTGGTGGGTGTGAACAGCTAACCTTTCAGTTAGTAGCAGCGCTTAACCACTGAGCCACCAGGACTCCTCTCCAAAAGGTCACAGACTTGAAAACTCTACGGAGCAGAGTTCTACTCTGCACACATGGGGTCACCATGAGTTGGAATTGACTCCATGACAACGGACAATAACAACAACAACCGCTGTCTTGTACCTTCCCCCATGACAATGAGCCAGCTGTCCCTACCTCTCCCTGAGACTAACCCCTCCAGTGTTGCTCTGACTGCTGTTTCCACTCCTGAACTCCTGCAAATAACCCCTTTAGCTCTGTGATCAGTTTCTGTCTCTGATGGAATAATCATTCCTGTCAGGCTACAAATATGTCTTACTATCAAACCTCTTAAAAAAAAAATTCCTTGTTTCCAAGTCCATCTCCAGCTACCGTCCTGTATTTCTTCTCTTTTTTACAGTAAAACTGCTTAAAGGAGTTGTCTACAGTACTGCCTCTACTTTCACCTCCCATTCTCTCTTCAGCCCATTCCAGTCAGTTTGTCCCTCCTGACTTCACTGAAATGGCTCTTATCAGCACCGTCAGTGGGCTGTGCTAAAATCAGGGTCACTTCTCTCCTTATCTTGCCCAGCATCTCAGTCCCTGTTAAGTAGGTTGAGCGCTCCCCCCTTCACACGTTTTCCTTTTAGTCCTTTGTGATACCACACTCACCTGGTTTTCTCACTGCCGCCCTGGCTACAATTCTTGGTGTCTTTTGTTGGTATTTGTTTTAGTTGTCCAGTGCTGCTGGAATGGAAATACCACAAGTCGATGGCTTTAACAAACAGAAATGTATTCTCTCACCATCTAGGAGCCTAGAAGTCGGAATTCAGGGAGCCAGCTCCAGAGGAAGGCTTTCTCTTTCTGTTAGCTCTGGGAGAAGGTCCTTGTCATCAGTCTTCCCCTGGTCTAGGAGCTTCTCAGCACAGGGACCCTGGTTCCCAATGACGCGCTCCCCTCCTGGTTCTTTCTCGGTGGTAGGAGGTCCCTCTCCTCTCTGCTCGATTCTGTCTTATATCTCAAAAGAGATTGACTCAACATACAACCTAATTCTGTAGATTGAAGCTGGCCTCATTAACATAACTGCCTCTAATCCTGCTTCATTAACGTCATAGAGGTTAGGATTTACAACACATAGGAGAATTCCATCAGATCACAAAATACAGGACAACCACACAACGCTGGGAATATGGCCTAGCCAAGTTGACACACATTTTGGGGGGACACAATTCAATCCATAACAGTACTCCTTCCCTACCAAACCTCTGAATGATGGAGTGACCAGGGCTCTGCCTGCGACACTCTTCTTTCTGAACTTTATGATTCTCACCATTTTTGTCTCTGGCTCATCCCATAATTCTCCACCGAGCTACATGTATTTTCTTCCATATTTCCACTTGGATGACTAACTGATATGTTAAAATGGACACGATCAAATTAGAACAAGTGATCTCCCACACCCTGAGGAAGTCCACTTCCCACCCAACCTAGGTTTACCAGTATCATTAAATGGCATCATCATCTTCTGGTTACTCAGTCCCTAAACCTTAGAGTGATTATTCCTTCCTCCCCCTCACAGCCCACCACATATGCCTACCTATATCCTGAACACATCTTTCCTCATCTCCCTCAATGCTACAACCCAAGCCAGGCTAACCTTCTCTCTCCCACGTGAACTAACATCCTCACGGCCTTCCTCCCCACGTTTCATCCTCCATACAATAGCCAGATTATCTTTCTAAATTATAAATGCAATCCATCATCCCTGAGTTAAAAACCTCCCAGTGGCTTCCCATTGCCATCAGAATAAAATTTACCCTATTTTTTACCATAGACTGAAATAATTCTGTTTGCTCAATGTCCTGCCAGCCTCTGCCACTTAATGGTCTTCTGCTTTCTACTTCGCCTGCCACCCTGGACTCATTTTTGTTCATCACACTTGCTAAACTGATTCCGGTATTCTTTCTGTTTTACGCACTTTTCTTCTGGATCATCATATGTCTGCCTCCTTCTCATAATTAGATCTTATGTCAAACGGCACTTTCACAAAGAGAGGCTCCTTAACCACCATAGCTAGAGCAACAACCTTCCCTTCACACACCCTCACGTTATTCTGTTATCATTTTCTGAGCTTATGTAAGTATCTGAAATACCCTTATGTGTTTATAAGTGTACTGACTGCTGCCTCTCCCCCTTATAGAATGTCAGCCTCCTGTGGACTGGGTCTCCCTGTTGTTTACATTTGATATTCCCAGATCCTAGACCAGGACCTGGAACATAGCAGGAAAGCACTAAGTATTTATTGATTGACCATAGAACTTTTGATATGAAAATAACCCAGTATAACATGAGAATTGGAAAGGTCCCTGGAGATCACTGTAATGGTAATTGACCTATAATCTACTAGGCAGGGATAAAAATCAATGCTTTCAGAGGATATGACTCTGTCCTCTTTGGAAGCATTCAGAGGGATCATTATTATAACATAAGAGTCAGTTGCTAGTCTTTTTAATTTTAACTATGCTAGTTTCTGAATGTTCAGTAATGTGATATGTATGCATGTACATACTGAGGGGTCCTTGTTTGTATATGTACCCTGAAAACAAAAGCTTAAATACGAAAGACATTTTTTTCTGTTCTATGTTTATTGTTTTTAAGCAGCATAAAACTAAGCTTATTCAGACGTCTGTTTTTGTTCCATAACAAAAACAAATAGTCTAGTGGTCTTGAGTCATGATACGAGCCATACATATTAATTATTTAGTTTACTCCCAAAATATAATTCAGGATCTCAGGTCTTCCAACAGAGGATTATGAGATTTTGATATTCATTTCCAGTAACATGATAAGACTCATAACTTAAATCCTTAGATTCACTATATTGGCAATATTACTAAAAATCGCATGCAGGTTTAACACATGTATGGACATAGAAAGTTTTTTGGTAATAAAATATTTTTCTGATTAGAATAGTAACACATGCCCATTTTAGAAAATTCATAAAATCATAAAATTATAAATAATAAGAACTCATAATCTTACTGTCCAGAGATAGTAACTATTAATATTTTATATATTTTTTTAAATTTTCTCATGTTTATATATGTATAAATGCAAATACATGAATGATAATGAAAGTTTGACTTGATTTTATTAAATTTCAATGAATTTTCTAAAATGATTTCTACTTTTTTATAACAAATATGGTGTAGCTTATTTTATCCTGTTTTATTAATTTGAGTAATAATTTACTTTCCTTTTGTTTTCACATGGAGGTCTGATGGCACAGTCATTAAGTGCTAGGCTGCTAACCAAAAGGTTGACAGTTCAAATCCACCAGCCACTTCGTAGAAACCCTATGGGGTAGTTCTACTCTGTCCTGTAGCGTCACTATGAGTAGGGATCGACGACAATGGGTTTGGGGTTTATTTTCACATAGGAAATATTTTTGCTTATTTAAAGGGAAAACAATGGTTGCTACGCTTTATTTTAGCAGTAAATAAATAATGTGAAAGATTTTTAATAATATTTTAAAATGCTTTCTCTTAGAAATATTTCATTACTTCCATATTACAGGACAACTTAAAAGGGAATAGATAATTTAAATTCAGCCAAGTGCCCATGTTTTGTGAAATTTAATTAATAATATGATAGGATTACAGAATAAGGACATAATTTTAGTTTTACTCAAAATTCAGGACAAGCAGTAGACTCTATTGAAGTTGTACAAATATAAAAGATAATTATTTCTTCAGAGTGCATTATTAGCAATATATTGGTTGAAAACTGAATTCTGGAATGGCATTTCTCAAATAATAGACTAACTGTTTAATATCAAACATGGCTTGCTTGATGTCAAGCAAGAACATGGAAATTTAGGACATAGAATACACACGCACGCAAAAAATTCTTACCTTCAAACTTTTGATTCCAGTTTCTGATCAGTAATTTAGAATGTAGCTGTTTAATGACCATTATACGTTCGTATCTTTTAAGTATTATATTTTGTATATATACCGTTTTATTTTAGTAAAATAAAGTATTTTAGGAGATAATTTTCTACATTTTCGTTTACTTTTACTGAAGCAAGGAAAGCTGACAGAGACTGGATTAGGTATTTTTAGTTTCAGACCAGTGGGTTAGTGTTAGAGGTTTCTGTGGGTGCCCTAGAGATCAGTAAGGACAAAAATGGCAGGGGTAAGGTATAAATGGATGCTGCCCAGGGCAGGTGGGTAAACAGACCTAGGAACTCCTATTTGCAGGAGACATCTGAGAACATAATGGTAGAGAAGCTGGACTTAAATTCTATAAGGAGAAGGGACAAAGAAAGTACAGGGGAAATAGGAGAAGTAACAGAAATAGGAAATTAGATGCTGTAGTTCATAGAAATAATCAAGAAGTAGAGAAAAGACTCCACCATATGAGGACATATGGACTGTTTCTTCCTTTCTTGAGTCTTACACCATCAAGATTTCATCTGAATGGTTTTATTTTTCCAATCTGTAAGTTTCTTTAGGAAGCGTAGGATTGGTATTCAGAAGTCATCCTTTACAGTTCCAAATGCGATACTTACCAGATGTTCGATCTTCGAATGCTATGTATTTAAAGCCATTTGTAAATGCTGAATATTTTATATAAATTTAAGGTTATGATTTTAATTACCATATTTAATAAGAAATGTTAGGTTGGTGTAGATTGAAAAAACTAAATTCCTTATCAATCACTTATAATTTTACACATTTTTATTTATTAATAACATAGCTTTATACATTTTGTTAATCACTTATAACTTTATGCATTTTTATATTATTAAATATTTCAAACACACAGAAAAAATGAAGAAAATAATACAACACCCATTTTAGCATGTTTGTTTCAGATCCTCGTGTTATAAAAGAAAACACTGCAGCTACAACTAAAGTCCCCTGGTCTCCCCTTTCTGACAAGGCTGGACTCTGTACCCCGTAAGCTTTGTAGGAGTAGCTGATAACAGCAGGCTCCCTGCAGACAGTCTGGCTCCCAAAGAGAGAAGCCAGAAAGTACTGAATAGAGCATGCTCTTCATCTTCTCTCAAACTCACCAGTAAGATATATCACTTCTGCTTATCAGGAAGAAAATACGCAGAAAGAGGCTAGGAGTGTAACTCTCATTTTAGGTCCCACCAGATGGAAATAAAGTCAGAGAAAAATAGTTCCCATTCAGCAGATCCATATGCAACTTACCTTGAATCCATTCAATATTAGCTTTCTGAGATTTTCTTCCTTGATGAGTCATGTAAATCTAATTCATTTATTTTGGCTATTCCTAATGTAGTAGCCGTGGAACCCTGATGGTGCAGTAGTTAAGAGCCTGGCATCTACCAGCTGCTCCTTGGAAACCCAGTGGAGCAGTTCTGCTCTGTCCTGTAGGGTCACTATGAGTTGGAATTGACTCAACGGCAGCGGGTTTGGTTTTTGGAATGTAGTAGTATATGGAGGCACCAGTGGTTCAGTGGTAGAACTCTCACCTTCCATGCTGGAGACCCGGGTTGGAGACCCGGGTGATTCCCAGCCAATGCATCTCATGTGCAGCCACCACCTATCTGTCACTGGAGGCTTGCCTGTTGCTATGATGCTGAACAGGTTTCAGTGGAACTTCCAGACTAAGACAGACTGGAAAGAAATGCCTGAAGATCTACCTCTGAAAACCAGCCACTGAAAAACCCTGTGTATAACAATGGTCTAGTCTGCAGCTGATCATGGGGATGGTGAAGGACTGGGCAGTGTTTTGTTCAGTTGTGCATGAGGTCATCATGAGTCTGGATGACATGGTGACTGCTATAAATATTCCCACCATGGCCTGTTTTAGGCCACTGATCTTTACTGACTTGCAGAATTCCTGGATGCTTGACATTGGGCTCTGACAAGCCAGTATGAGCGAGAACCAGAACATCGCTATATGTATATGTAATATATGTTCTAGTATATGAATAAGCCAGAATTTATCTTCTGACAGTTATTAGAGCACATTTAGTTTTTCACTATTACAAGAAGCGATTTGATAAATACTATTATACAAATGTCTCTAAATTACGTACCTAAAAGTGGTATTCCCAGATTGTAAAATACCTGTTTCCAGCTCTACTAGACATACTTTCCAAATTGGTTTTATGAGTTCCACCAAATTGGTTTTATATTCCACCAAGTGTGTATGAAGGTTTCTGTGTCTCCAAAGCCTGAAATTATCAGGCTTATTAATTATTACCAATATGATGGATGTGATGTGATTCTAATTAATTTTATTTGATGAACTTATTTAATCTTCACAAAAATATTCAGGGATATGTACAATTATTATCCCCATCTTAAAGACTGGTAAATTGACACCATTGCTGCATTTCAAACCTAGATTTGTCAGACTTTGAAGTTTATACTTTTAATACTGTTACAATTCTACACTTTTTCATTATACATTACCAAGTACTTTGCCTTATAAATAATAGACATTCAAAAATATTTATGAATTCATGACTAAGGCATTGTTTTCATTATTTTTACTGTGTTGCAAATTGATACACTGATAACAATTAGGTAATAGAATACTCACGTGTTGTATTCTACTCAAGGCCGGTCATTCTTGGGACATAGATTTCTATTAGTTGGTTTCTCCAGTACATAGAACCAAAATGTCACAGAACCAAAATTTAATTCAGCAGCATCATCAGTCTATTTCATTTACACATGACATAACAGACTGGTGAGTAGAAGGCCATGGTGTGGCTGAGCAGATACGATAAATGATTTTCTGGAAGTTGGTTTAGAGCCCAGAACCGTTCAACCTTTTTCATCCATGGCCTGGCTAATAGAATAGAGAGAATGCTTATTAAGTTCGCATTTGATAGAAAGCTAGGACAGCAAAAGGGAAGAGGAGCCCGTAACTTAATCAGTAGAGGTGAAATTTAATATGGATTTATCAGAATTGACTAGACGGCAGCAGGTTTGGTTTGTTTTTTTTTTTATCATAATAGACAAGCAGTAAGTAACAAATAATAAAATTTGGTAGAACTCATTAAGAAGAAAAAATATTGCAACTGCAAGATAGTAAATAGAGTCAATATATACAATTAAATCTTATTTGAGTTTTACTAACTGGAATTCATAGTAATTTTATTGAAAGATCCAAAAGTTATTCTCACATCCATTTATGTATATAGCTGGCAGAGAACTGATGATACTTTTCTTTCACATAATTACTTCTCACCAGTATTTACAAAATGAATTAATAAATGAACACTGTCGTTATCTTTTTCAGCCTAGGAGGTCTTTAGTCTATACCGTTTTGTTTTACTATTATTAGACCTTTGAATTATTTTCAGTTTTTTCATTATTGTGAATTTCACTGTTATATAGACTATATCTTTGTAAAAATATTTTGTAATTATTGATTTTTTCCTAATTTGAGTGAAGTATATTAGTTTGCAGAATTTTCTTGTTACTGTGAATTGATTCTCCATTGTACTTCTTCTGTGAAGATGTTTGTTAATGTTAGAATCTTTCCACCAATCACACATAAAATAGATGATTTATTAATATTCTCAGGAATATTCAGTTATGTTGTCTTTTTCTTTTGAGTACACAAACCTTTATATTAGCATTCAATTTTAATATTTTTATTCTAATCTTTTCAGGTTGCTCAAAGACTGTCCTGGTTTTGTGTTTACCCCTCGATCAAGAGAGGAGCTTCCGCCAAACTTCCCCAGTGAAATTCCTGGAATCTGTCATTTTCTGGATGCTTATCTACAGGGAACAAATTCAAAACCATGGTTTCAAAAGAGAGATAAGGAAGATGGCAATGCTAATTTTTTAGGCAAAGCTTTAGGAGTAGATTAGCAAAATGAACACCTGATTATAAGTCTTTGAGGTTTGACTCTTTTGAGGCTGTCAGGAACCTCAGAAAGCACTTTAAGATTGCAGATGGCTAAAGATCAGTATTAAAATACCAGTAGCATAAGTCAGGATCTACTTTTTCTCCCACTTAACGTGACAAAAAATGTATTCACTTCAGTATTTCAACTCTGCTGTTAAAAAAAAAAAAAAGCCTCAACAAGTGACTTTTTGAGGCAGTTCCTGTCATGTAGCCGTCACTACCTGTACTCGCAGTTGAACACATTGTACATATATCTGGTAATTGTAGTGAACTGTATGGAGTGAGCGAGTCACCTGCAGTCCTGTGCCCTGGCGGAGGGCCATGGTTATTAAAGTGTATTTGTCATAGTGTTGCCTTAAAAAAGGGTTTTGAGTAGAAGTTACAGTTTTTGATACCATAAGTTCTTTCAACTCTACCCTTTATTATTACATTTTCTCATTGTAACTGTTAGCATATATAACAAAGTAGACCGAGGTGTTTTTTTTTCTCTTTTTACTTTCATTTTTCCTTTTAGAAAATAAGCTAGTATGGGTTAGATGCAGTATAAATATACAATAGGTCTTCTGTAAATACCAACGATTATTTTTAGTTGTTGAAGTTAAAATTATTCTCCATAAAATAATGTGTCAATAATAAATGTTTCCTTTTGTTTGACATTCATTACTTTTTCTATTTTATAGATGGTAAAGGCTATTTTAAGGAGCCCTAGTGGCACAGTGGTTAAGCACTCAGCTACTAACCAAAAGGCTGGAAGTTCAAACCCACCAGCTGCTCCAACAGAGAGAGATGTGGCGGTCTGCTTCAGTAAAGACTACAGGAAGCCCTTTGGGGCAGTTCTGCTCTTGTCTGTAGGGTAGCTATGAGTTGGAATAGGACACAGAATGCACACCCATACAAAAAATTCTTACCTTCAAACTTTCCAAATTCTAATCAGTAATTTAGAATGTAGCAGTTTAATGACCATTATACATTCCGTTCTTTTAACTGTTAATGAGGAGGTTTACTTTATTTTAGTAAAATAAAAGTATTTTATTTTGGGGAATAATTTTCTACATTTTTGTTTACTTTTACTGAAGCAAGGAAAGCTGACAGAGACTGGATTAGGTATTTTTAGTTTCAGATCAGTGGGTTAGTGTTAGAGGTTTATATGGGTGACCTAGAGATCAGTAAGGACAAAAATGGCAGGTGCAGGGTATAAAATGGATGCTGCCCAGAGCAGGTGGGTAAATAGATCTAGGAACTCCTATTTGCAGGAGATGTCTGAGACTGTAATGATAGAGAAGCAGGACTTAAATTCTATAAGGGGAAGGGACAAAGAGAATAAAAAGGAAACAGGAGAGGTAACAGAAAATAGGAGCGTGGTTTGGTTGTGGTTTGGAAAGGCTATTTTAATTCATATTAGCAATTTCATTCATAATCCATTTTAATATCATAGGAGCAAAGTATTTAGGATAAAAGAGGCTTGTAATCTATTTTAAAATGCAATAATACCATTCTAATTTAATTTAACGAGAAGAGACATAGGAGAAAAGTAAGCAACCAGGGAATCTACCAAAAAATAGTAAAGCATTCACACCTGCTTGTGTGTATGTGCGTGTACACGTGTACACACACACACACACACACACACACACACACACACACGCTTAGTTTCCGAGGGCTGGAATAACAAAACACTACAAAGTGGGTGGCTTTAAAGAAGAGAAATTTATTGTCTCATAGTTCTGGAGGCTGGAAGTCTGAGTTCAGGACCTCAGCAGGACCATGCTCTATCTGTCCGTTGTACACAAATACCCTTTCTGTCTCTTCAGCTCCTGGTAGCCCCAGGCATTTGTTGGCATTTCTTGGCTTGTAAACGCTTCTTCATGTGGCGCCTTCAACCTGTGAACTCTGTTTTTGTGTCTGTTCTCTCCTTTTATAAGATACCACTCAGAAAGGATCAAGATCCACCCCATTTTGGTATGATCTCCTTAACTGCTAACTTGTTCAAGGAAAGTCCTTCTTTCCAAACAAGATCTCATTCATAGTACAGAAATTAGGACCTCAGCACACCTTTTTTGTGGACACACTTTATGGCACACACTCCGCAGTAATTTGGCCTACTTCAGCAGAAAGGCTTCAATGCCATGCTAAGCCATGCAAAGTTCCAGTAAGAATCTAAGGTTAGACGAGGGAACTAAGACTCATTCTTTCTGCTTCTGGCTTATCCTTCTTAAGTGTTTGTGCTGAACACTTTAGCGCGTGTGTACTAAAAATCAAGTTTTGGTGACATTAAGTACACATCCTTGAATTTTTTGTTCTAGTTGAAATATCTTGATGCTTTTTTTGAGAGATTAATATTGATGAAAATGATGTGATGATAACATTATGGAAATTTCTAAATGTTTTTCTAGCACTTGAATTTTCAATTCTAATGATGTTAGTTTAAACTCTGTGGAGAACTAAATATCCTACAGAGTTTGACTGAGATAAGGATTTGGTTTTAAAAATAGCTCAACTCCAGAGCAAGAGCAGGATGACCATTATGGTTTTTAACTAAGTATCAGCAGAACCATAGATACATTAAACTCGTATTTGGAGTTCTGAGAAATCGCTCAGTTTAAAAGTTCTCTAACTGTCTCTGTTAGTCCCCAGACTAACTTACGATGACCTCAGGAGTAGAAAGTCAGTATTGATTGGCATCTGGTATCCCAAAGGTGGTGTTTTGGGGTGTCATCACGTCACTTCTGACTCATAGTGACACCATGTGACAAAGAACTGCCGCATTGTGTTTTCTTAACTGTAATCTTTATGGAAACACATTGCCAGGTCTTTCTCCCACAGAGCCACTAGTGGGTTTGAATTGCCAACCTTCGGTTAGCAGGTGAGAGCTTAACCATTGCACCACCAGGGCTCCTTACTTTAAGTGTACTTATTACCTACGTATAAAATGATGAATACTATTTATAAAATGATGCCCCAATGTCCTGAAAAAATGAATTTGTTTCATTACATATCCTATTACTGGGGAGTACCATAGATTTTGGGAAAATATAGTCTCACAATTATATGAAGTTAATAAAAGTACAAGGAAAATAGAGACGTAAATATATTTTCTTTCTGTAACTGAATCCTTATTACAGAGAAAAATAATAGGAATTAAAGGAAATCAAAAAGCATAAAATAAAATGTCGTCTTTGTCAAATACTGAAGCAGACCCTAATTTCAAAATGATCTGTGTCCTAAAAGTTTGTAAGGTAATTAGAATTCAAAAAGTATTTTCTTTGTGTACATGTGCGTATACACAGAGAAAGAGAACAGATGGAGTGAAGATAATCTGGGTAAAGACTATATAGAAGTTCCTTATACTATTTCTGCAGATTTTCTAAAATTTTGACATTTTCTCTAAATAAAAAGATACCAAAAATGTATTTTTCCAGAGAAATAAAATCATCTGTGATAGGTTCCCCAGGCCAGCCTGCAAAGGTTCATTAATTATGGAATACTCTTGTGCAACCTAAGCAAGATGAACATGCAACATTTCCCTAATACAGTGAAATAAAAGTTCACAACTGGAATGTTAAAAAAAAAAGGGAATCCATATCTACATCTGAGAGCAGAAGCTATGGAGAGATTTTCAGATCCAGACCACTCATGGTACCATGGGTAGAGACCCTGGAGGACAGGTTCTCAAGGGAAGTAAAAGACCAAACTTAGAACGCTGAGTTTAGGAGTGGAATTGAGGATGGAGAAGAGAATGGACAGATAGGGTTGGGGGCTAAGGGTACTGACTCTTCTTACCAGTTTAACTACCAGTCTTAGTCATCTAGTGCTACTCTAACAGGAATACCACAAGTAGATGGCTTTAACAAAGAGAAATTTATTCTCTCACAATCCAGTAGGCTACAAGTCCAAATTCAGGGCATCATCTCCAAGGGAAGGCTTTCTCTGTCAGCTCTGGAGGAAGGTCCATGTCATCAGTCTTCCCTTGGTCTGGGAGCTTCTCTGCACAGGAACCTCAGGTCCAAAGGATGCGCTCTCCTCCCTGCACTGTTTTCTTGGTGGTATGAGATTCCCAATTCTCTGCTTGCTTCCCTTTCCTTTTATCTCGTAAAGGGTGGGGCAGGCCACACCCTAGGGAAACTCCCTTTACATTGTATCAGGGATGTGACCTGAGTAAGGGTGGTGTTACAATCCCACTCTAATCCTCTTTAAAATAAAATTATAATCACAAAATGGAGGCTAACCACACAATTCTGAGAATCATGGCCCAGCCAAATTGACACACACATTTTTGGGGGGACATAATTCAAACCATGACAACTACCCTAACAACAATGGGAGGGGGTGTTGTCCCAGGATAGCTTCCTCATAAGTATGTTTCGTCTGAGAATCCTGGGGGCCGTGCCTTCTAAATTTATTGTTTCCCTGCATGGCTTCTTGTCTTTTTGATCCCATGCACAAATTAAATTAGCTATTCATACATATTTATCAGTCAAGCATAGAGTTATATTGAAGTTGTCTAAAGATTTTTGCATCAAGAAGCAAAGGAGAAGTAAAAAGCAAAAGGAAATAAGTGTTTCTTCCCATTTTGCCTTACCGTCTCTATTTCTTGTTAGGTGTAAGAAACTGAAAAGTTTGACTCAGTACTAATAGATCTGTTCACTCATTTTCATTTATTCATCCATCAAGCATTTACTGAATGCCCACTATGTACGAGAGACAATGCTAAATTCAGAGATAAACTATGGCTGTGTCAAGAAAGGAAAATGAAGGAGGAACGTAAGGTAAACAAACAATTACAAAGTGACTGCGGCTGGGAATACAAAGTTAGGGACTCAGTTCTTGGAGAAGTTGCGTGGTCTTAGGGAGTTCCTCAGGCAAGGGTCGGGGGAGGCAATTGAACTAGCACACACAAACAAATGGGTCTTGGAGGTGCACGGTATGTTCCAGACAGCCAGTTGCCAGGGATGAGTTGGAAGTGAAGAGACACTGGGCAGAAAGACCATTTAGACATAAATTATGAAGGGAACTGTATGTCATGTTAACATCTGTGATTATTATGCCTCTTAATTGGTATTATTATTAGTTATTATTGATTTCCTTAAAACACTTTGTTAAAAATAAATTTTAGTGAAAAAGAGGAAGCAAAACAGAAAAAGAGCAGACCCATTTGCTTGTGTCTCCCTCCCCTAATGCAGTTTTGAAACCACTAGACAAAAAGATGCCAAATCGTAAACCAAGAGAATGGTGTGATCTGATGTAGGCTTAGAAAGGCAGTGTCAGACAGCATGGATAATGGTGGCTATTTACTTGCACGAGTGACTAAATTATTGTTCTTCTGTATCTCAGAGGAAAATAATTCATGCTGTATCCTGGGTACTTTACCAAAAGTACAACAAAAAACTGGATGTCTGGCTTTAAAATAACACATCACTCTCAAGGCCATTAGTCCTTCAGATCCATTGGTAAAGGGGAGAAGGATTTGCTTCAAGGTTTTAAGTAAACATTGTTCACGAATACCTTCTCCCTGTTATTACCAGGAAGCTCCTGTCTAGCCCTGTCCTGTGGCTGGGTTGGAAGGAAGCATACGACAGAGCAGAATGTTCTGTGGTGGGTCTAGCAAGTGAAAAGAAATGAAGGGGAGTATCAGCTGCAAAAAGTGACTGGAAGACAGACGTGAGAGCTAACTGGGAAGTCTACGCGAATGGAGGCTCACATGCAATGCATGAGTCTAGGGCTGCGTCATAATGTAAACCCCTCTTCAAGTCCCTGTTAAAGCGTCTGTTAATAGTCCCCAAGAGAATGGATTAACGAATTATGTATGGCAGAAATAGTTTTCAGTGAATGGGTTTGACCTGGATTAGTCATTAATAAGGAAAAAGAAATCTCTTTGACACCTATTTGTTACGGTGGCTTAAAGGATCGCTGCCCTTTACTGAGCAATAAAACAAGGAGTTTGTTTTGCTTAATTGTGCCCTTTGGTGCTACTTCCCTTGTTAGATAGCTGTACTTATAAAGTTAAATGAAGGCACACTTGAAACATGGGAGGATATGACACGTGTAAGAAGTGAGAGGCAAGTCGTCAGAGGGGGCTAGACCAGAGGCCTTGCGGATCCTATAAAGAGGGACTTACCATCTCCAGAACAGGAACTCAACGCCAAGGTCCAATTCCCTTGTTTAAACATAAGCTAAGCGCAGGGACAGCTTGCCTTATTAAGTAGAGAACGACAAAATATAATTTTAAACCTAGGTTTACAGTGTGCATTCTGTGTTGGGATTCTTTTCAAATCCAGGGATATCTTTGTATTCTTTAGGGAGAAAGGGAAGAATCACTGTGTTGTCAGCGTGGTGAGGCTTGCAGTAATGGGGTAACTTGTCCTTTGTAGTCTGTTGAGCTCTTTCCTCCTGCTCAGAGCGAGTCAGCTTCTGGACTTCAGAAAAAAGTCTTCCCCCTTTTAAATGCTTCTATTATTATATTGATAATAGGTACTCATGCGGTATTATTTTAAGTCACTTCAAAAATTACACATTTTATTGCCATCTGTATTTCTCTGGAAGAACGTTTGTTCTTAATCTGTCCATACCTGCATGTTTAAGTAGTCCATGATGTATGCATACTTGTCAACCAGAACTACCCCTTTATCTTATTTATGTCCATGACTTCTCATAGATGAGTATAATTATGTATAATTCCAATAAAAAAAAATCAGCTAAACCAAAGGGGAGGGGAAAATGGGATACACTAGAATCCAGACTTCTTTATCATCACTGCAGATCGTTTTCCCTCGTAATAAGCCTAGTATCAGAAAAATGTTAACATTTACATGTAAACATTGGGATGGAAATCAGGACAAAATTTAAATGGCAGATCCGGAACTTAATATTATATTTCAAGATTCTGGATAAAGTCATATTGCCTTTAATTCTTTTTAATTTATTTAAGCATTTGGTATCAGAAAATTAAATTGCAAAGAAGACTTACAGATAGTAGAGAAGATTTCTTGGCAAAAAAATGACTTTACATAATGCCCAAAGCTAAGGTGTTTGTTTCGTCTGAAATACTGCCAAGCCCGTCTGATTTGAGGAAAGATCCATGAGGCAGTTTCTGAAAGAAAACAAAGCAAAACGAGAATGCTGTTGAAGTTGAAGAGTTCATTGTGGTCAGCAGAATGGGAGCAAAGCTGGAGTCCTGGGGGAAGTAGGGGCGACAGTGGTCCTGGAATTCTGTGCCTTCAGGAAAAAATCAGTCATTCCCGTTACACAGGGCTTTGTAAATTTTAACCACAATAAGCTGCCTTTTTCCCCAAATCAATGGTATGCTGTAAAATTGAAGTGAATAAAACTTTATTAATTTTAGAGAATTTACTGTTCCTTCACCTCTTCCCACATGTAAATGAAAGATGCCCTGCAAATTGTTACAGCACCGCTTGATACTCACCAGCCTAGAGCAGTCTTCCCAGTCTTTGGTTTTCCTGAACTCCGTTAGTAAACTATTTTGACACACCTGCAATATATGTGTACTTATTTATAAATATCATGTATTACTCTCCTTTAATACACTGCATATTAGTAAGCCTTATTTTTAAATGAGCATAAATATACACAGAAATTCTAGTATTTACTTACCCAGTGAATCATCTTCACATTTCACTTTGGAAACAGCTACAATCAGTGGGTCTTCACTTTTGCTGAGTCATGTATCACTGAGAACTGGATAAAAGGTAAAAGATTCAGACCACTACCACCCTCAAAATACTGTACATATACCCCCAGACCCCAAGACTTTTATCTATTTTCAGAAGTTAGGGGATTCCCTGAGATCCACTCCCAGCCGCTCCAGGGAGGTACCATAGACCCTCAGACAACAGACTTATGTCTTCAGGGGATACACAGTAAAGAATAAGAAAATCAACAACTGGCAGAAGTCTGTAACTTCTGGTTTAGATGAGCACACATTTGATTTTTAAAGAATAAAGGGAATTTGTAATTTGGTCCTACTGTGTGAACTGACTCATGGGCCTTTACGTACAGAAACTGAAGTTTTATTTCCCGCAAATATTTAACACATCTGCTAACACATTTTTCTCAACTTCTGGTAAATGCGCATTGCTGTAGGTATGCCAATTTCTTTTTCTAATTTAAGCGCTTATTTTCATTTCCCCCGACGTAGAAGAGTACGACGATTGAACCTTGAGTTAAAAACCTTCTTGGCGCTAACAGCAGTCCTTCTGTTGTCAGGTTTACAATTGCTTTAATGATGTGTTTATTTTTGAGTCCTGCTTCTGGCAGAGTTGCTAAGTCTATCAAAAATTTATCCCGTGTCTAAGACATTTTTGAGATACTGCTGCCACATAAATATTGTAATAAAAGTGTTTAAATAAAAAGCTTAAATTTTAAAATGCTGTCTGTTTAAAGAGAAAAATGAGCCGTTAAATCAAGCAAAAACAATTTTATTCCAAGTTATGTAAATACATTTGTTCTGACCTAGATCTCATTGCTACAGATAGAGGAGAACTCCCAACACATTGATGTGGAAGAGCAGGGCCAACGACTGCTAGGTCAAGTTTTTGCTATGAATGGGTCAAACAAACAAACCATTGCCATTGAGTCTATTCCGACTCCTAGCGACCCTATAGGACAGAGTTGATCTGCCCGATAGAGTTTCCTAGGCTGTAATCATTAGGGAAGCCAACTGCCATGCCTTTTTCCCATGGAATGGCTGATGGGTTGGAAATGAGCCCTTAACCGCTGCACCACCAGGGCTCCTTGTGAACAGGTCAGTGTTACTCAAATCCCTTTTCAAAATGTTACCATTAAATAAGGTATTGATAAAACCAAAATACATTCCTTTAGTTGAGCAAAACTCCTATTTCCAACAAAACTCGTATTCAAGTTTTTCAAATTACAAAAAATATAGAAAAAATATATAAATTCAAAAATAAACTGTGCTCTGCTTATCCAAGTGTAATGGTCAGTAATACAAGCTCTAGAGTTCACTTGTCTCAGTGGCAGTCTATTGGGGGCCATTCTCTTATCAGTCTCTCACCTTTTGTGGAGAAACGGGTACCTACTGCCTTACTCCACACTACGTTTTCATAGATGTTTGAACAGCAAGCAGCCTTGGAAAAGAGAGGAAGTGTCTCCCTGCAGAGAAGAGGTCAGGCAAACTTACTGCCCATTATAAGAGATTTGGGTTTCTTAGAGTCAGGGTTCCTCTTCTGTAATGCAGTCTGCTGTGTGCACAGGTGTCATGTGGCCTTCTCATCACCCAGGGGAATGGGGGCCCAGGGAACCAGTGCAAGATAATGCTGACACTCTGTGTCTGCTGCCATGTTTATGAGTAACGGAAGTGTTGTGTCAGTGACACAGGAGTATTGTGCCTTCCTCCGGCGTTCTTCAAACTGGGACAGTCTAACTTGTTAGCTTACAAGTATGTAAAATCTCAGACTTCACAGTTATTGATAGTTTTGGCAATGAGGATGGGATGCTGGTTTCTGAAAGAAGAAGGATGAGGACCTCGTAGATTTGAAGAGAAAGTTCATGGGAATCAGTGGCGAATATGGTGATCAAATTGCATGTTCAACAAGGTGAAAAGTGGTCCTCCATGTTATTGTCTGTTAATGAAGAAGAGTTAGGGAGGGATTGCATGTCAAATAATAGAAAGGAGGCTCAAAGACAGTTGCCGGAACCATGTCTTGATTGCTGTTAACTCTCTTCTGTCTTCTGGGAGAACAGACTTTCTTTCAGAAGATGCTGTCAAAGTATACTCCACTGGGACAATTAGTACAAAGAAACCCTCTGGGCTAGAGAAAGGTTCCAACCCTCTTCAGACGACAGTGGCAGAGGTGTACACTTATACTGAACATAAAC